ATGAGAACAACAGGATGCAGACAGGATATGATAACATGGTATTTATGAAAGCAACTTGTTTCGGTGAGATTATAATTTATGGACGAGACGATGACACGCGTTTAGGGAATATGAAAATCTCAGCGTCAATTTGAATACCTGACTCTTACGTACAATCTGTTCACAGCGGATGTTAGAGAAGACGTGACAACTGAGCGGCTGCAACAAATGGGACTAGCAAGACTTTCCTTTATTTGTAATTAAGGTAATCAAGTGACATGTGGACTTTGTGCAGACTAACATGATGATGTTGTCTTTTGATGTAATATATGTTGAAGGAAGAAGTCTGATAGAATAGGAACTATTTTGCTCGATCCAGACTAAGACTAAGGCAAGCCACCATAATTGTTGCAAACTGTATAACAAAAGCACTCGAATAACAAAAGCTGCAACATTTGTAAATGTTGCTGAAGCTTCTGCTGTTCAGTGGTATGAGTATTGTAGAAATGTATACGTGATAATAATGACAAGCTTACACAACCGGACTGCACACAAATAATATTGAAGCTATGTGGTCGAGGCTGACAGAATTTTACAGTCATATCATGGCTCGAACAGTCGACAATTATGGAGCCATATGGATGAGTTTATCTACCGTATGCATTAGGATTTTGGAACATCTGACCCACTTTCTAACCTTGACAAGTTTTGAACCATGTTCAAGCAGTGTATCCTTTAAATTCTTTGGTTTTGTATACTGTATTTTTACTATGCACTAACTGTTTCCTGAATGAATATTATACTTCATGGTCACTTATGATTCGTCCAAAGGTCGCCCATGAATTATAGTTTCGCCAATTCCTATAAATACAAAAAAACAATTTTGAGAAACTTACCTTTTTCTACGCATATTTTCCATTTCTGATCTGAGAGTTTCGCAAGTCTTCCGCAATGCTGCTTTATGTTGGACAATAACTTGTGATTTGTTATACGATTCATTCATGTATACATTTTCGAATAAAACCTTCCATTTGATCTGGTCAAAATAAATAATTTGAATTTAATTTACAAGTTCAACGAGGCATGTTATGTTTGACAACAATATTTTCACACATTAACACAAATTCCACTGTTTTCATGTTGGCTGACACAGTCATTTACGTAGACTGCATACTGTTGTGTATGCTGGGTTTATCTGTCGACCTAAGCAGTATGTAACAATAATCAGAAGTTGGATGCCTGTCTAAAGAAGACTGAGAAGATTGCACTTGAGAAACAGGAAGAGAATCATAAAGGAATTGAGAAATGGAAGAAACATGAAAGATGCAAAGGACGATTGATAAAAGATTTGCAAACGGTGTGTTCACTGTGTGATTTTGACAAATTATGTAAGACTGCATTAAACAATGGATTGGATTCCTTACCAAGTCTCCATTCACTGCCTACATAACGCTCAAAAGCTTTCACGAGAATGTTTTATCTGCTTCCATGAACCAAAATAGAGGGAAGTGTTTTATCCTTAGTTCTCCTAATTTTTTATTGTGCTTTACCTCGTTCTAACCATGGACACAACCACACATTTACTGCGAATGAAGTGACTTTTAATAGAATATTTTAATCAATGATAGTAATACACAAAATTCCAGTTCAATCTGACCTTCAATCCATCGTTATCTCAAACACCTGAAAATATCATATAACCTTTGTATTCACACACTTGCGAATCGGGGTAAAGAACATCGAATTCCTCACATTATTAGTGTAGTCAGTGAGTTAGCATACTACTGTAAAATCGACCTCATTCTCAACTTACTATCGAACAGAAATCTTCCAGTTCTTCAATCCTGACAGGCGTTGCTTCACCAACCGTGGTTTCATCCTGTATCTAAGACATCATAAACGATACCAGTTATTTCATGCACGATATTCAAGGAGATTTAAATAGCTTGATTATGAATTGTCATTGATTTCAGAACTTGACAAAAATGTTGCTCAATGCTTGTTAGTTTAGACTGGTCCTGGCGTCAATATTCCCAGGAATTTTATTGATCTAATTTTGCAGTCTACGTTATAGGACCATGAATGCTATTGTTGATTTTTCTGACAGCCTGGTGTTTTTCGACACTACCAGTATTGGTTCGATTGACTACGGTATTTGAAGTCAGTGATCGTTTGTGAAAATGACTCATTGGTTTCATATTTATCTCTCTGATAACAAAATCACATACTGTTTTATACTCAGCAAACAACATACTCAAATGTGTCATTGTGAAGTAGGAAGTTGAGTGTCCGTTTATTCACTTGTTCCTGCAAATTCCGTATCAAAAGTTCAATCTGATGATAACCGATAAAGACCTCTATTGTACTAGCCAAATGCCATGGTTTTCCACCGACTGAATATACGTTCTACTCAACTACGACTTATTTCACTTATTTCTGTTAAGTACTGTAATCCATAAAAATTATTTGAAATTACCACTGTGAATAAAAATTGACAAATCATTATCGGTTTACTCACGATTTTAATTTTTGAATACAATTCGAAGACTTCCTCCATCAATCTTTTATTATCTTCACGAGCACCTACTTTTTGTAGATATTTGAAAATTTGTTCTTTGACTTCGCTGTCCGATCGATCTGACTGTTGAAGATGAAAAACGCAAGACAAATTTGTTTCTTATCATATACCACAAGAATTCAAAAATATGATGATGTGGAGGATAAACACCATGGGCATGATGGGGAACACCAAGTATGAACGCTTCATATCATGACGTGGACTTGTGGAGAGAACAGGAATGGCGAGTGGTTGTTGTCTGCATGTGTTATTGAAAACTAAGTTACACGCAGTCACGTTCTCTTTTACAAATTCACATACGAACTATGAAAATCCCAACCTTCAAACCAGCACGAAGCCAGATAAGACGTACTTTCGTTAATAGACGGCTAACAATATTCATGGAAGACGTCAGAACAAAGAAAGGACCTGTTATATCATCAGGCCATCACACGATCGTCGTCAAACTAAACATGATAATGAGTAATCGTTGAGGAGTTGTACAGGTGATACTACAAAGATTCAGTAGACCATCTTTGATCACGAGAGAGCATTCGACAGCGTGTAAATGAGAACCCGGTGGGGAGAGATGAAATCTTTGTAGATGTGATGCACAATTCAGCAGAATAAGGAAAACGTTTCTGAAATTGAGGTTGACCTGAATTTCAGAAGAAGTGTCACACATGACAGAATTTTCAACACTAATGTCAAGGTGGCTCCATTGTACAAAGCTGAAACTTGGATAACGATTAAGACCATTAGCAAAATAAGGTATATATATATAACTGCCTATTCAAAGTACTTCGAATACATTGACAGTAAAATAATAGCAATAATCTACTCTGATAAACAACAAACAAGCATTCAGTCAAAGAGGAAATTGAGAAAACACATCAATGACATTGCAGGAGATTCCACGAATATTGTTTATGGGAGTCTTTGAAGTGAAATGAAAACTAACAGATCAAAATACAACCAGGGTCGCAATTACGGTAAGATATCAAGATCATGAATAGCATTCGGCATCAACTCTGTTCGAAACCATAGTACAAACCTGACTGACAATGTTCAGTTTGTGACTTTTATTCAATAGTGATTATTGGTTTCACCAACACAACTTTACTGACATTGAAGCTATAGATCCTATTTATCAACTCTGCTCTGATAGACCTATGACAATGTTTACTGGGTTTATTCTTGTTCAATTCACAAATCTCAACTGGTAATTGTAATTAATCGTCGACAAGATCCACACAATTGATAACAATATTGAATTATTGGGCGCTCAAAATAGTCAAATCGTATCATCGGAAGTTTGGCTTTCCTCATTCTGCTTACCTGTATATGTAACCTCCTGTATTTCTCATTATTTACTCTCAAATCATCAGTTACCAGTCACATTTAAATGTTTCACGTAATCATGGTTGAGGTTTCGAAAGATAGACAAGACTCTATTTTGGTGAAGTGCTGATGAACATTTTATCAATAGATGCCTGCGAATAAAGCTCGACCTGACTGACGTGTAAATCCATTCAAACATCGACATGAGGAATAGTGTACACAACATTCCCTTAGTCGAATCATTTCATGAATTTCTTCGAACCGCGTTTACTCCTCTAATTGTTCAAATAAACTTGACAAACTATTTCGTGTTTTGAATATCACAACTAGCAACATGTTAACAAAAAACTAATAAACAAAAATTTCTTAATCACTGCAATGAATATGATTGAATACGTATGTCAGTTTCATCGTACCATGTTTAACTTCTCCTTGTCAAATGCGTCGAGCGATCCTGAGTAAATCTGGAAGAACAAATTTACGTTCACTTTTAGAAAGAGTAAAAATGGAAAATCTAATAACCGCAAGTTATTGTCAGAAATAATCAAACTCTCATTCACCGCATACTTCATTCAATGTGTGTTATTCATTGACAGTTCTATTCGCTCATTATGAGGAAAATAAACATGTCTGATTCGCTGAATTAGATAACGTCATTGGCAAAATCAAATGGTGTTTCATCATCGAACAAAGGTGCACAGATTTCGAATATCATCAAACAAATTTCGTCGTTCAACTCTACATACTCATGTGGCCGTCTCATTCAGGTCAGCAAAAATAAGCAATTCGACGATGTATTTGGAGATAAAGGAAACAGTCACAGTAAATTGTACCGATTTCGTTGATTACGAGTGTGTTTATTTACAACTGTGTTTAGTGACACAAACCGAATAAAGTAATGGGAACTACTAATAGACTGAAGTCGAATTTGTTCTTTATAAGTAGATTTTAGTGAGCCATTGAACAGCGAGAAAATACGCCAACTTGCACTTTAGGACAAATCATTAGACCAATGTACTAGAAGTTATCAGTACATGACGGTACTGTAGTCAAAGTCATCAACAGACTGAATGGGAAATTGCTCACAGAAAAATCTGACTCGCTTAAAATTTATTCAAGAATAACTCACGTACTTGATAACCTGTTCAGTCATTTTACTGGTTTTCAATCAGAATTCAGATTGCTGGCATTGTAAGCTGAACAGAGTATCTAAACTATGTATTTAGAACTTAATATGCATGAAAATAACTAAATCATGTATTGTTTGAAATCTTACATGAATTAATCGATCGTCTCCTTGTGAATAACCTTCAGTTAGATTGATGGAAAAGAAAGTTGTTCTACCACTTTGAAATATCAGTGGCAAAATGAAAGCAGTCAGATTAAACATTTCAGTTGCAAGAATCTGGTTCCAGAAAAAGGCTGCCCGGTTATTATCTAATGAAATTGCCCATCCGTTGAATAGTTCTTCTGCCATTTCACGAACTTTAGACTGAATGAACGATTTTTCCTTCGAATAGTCAATCGTGCAAGTGTTGTAGAAAGTTTTAGCTGCATTAATACTCGATAAATTTTTAAATTCTGTACTTTCAACTAAAAGTGAAAGAAATCCATAAATTGATAATGTCAAGTGGGTTTTAGTGATGTTTATCTATTTAATACCTATTTATATATTTGGCAATACATGATGGTTTGCAGTACACTGCTCCATTAAATCATTCAATTCGTTTATTAATCTCGTTGTATTCCACATATCAGTCATCACGTTCATTCATGCAGGAGAGGACGCTGAATTCAGTTGTTGAGATTCAGGCATACAAACCTGAGCAACTCATTTTCCCGATGTTGTTGTGTTGAACAGTACTTGTCGTTTTCCAACACTCACTTCGATGTTTGAGATACATCTTGTTTGTCATACAGAACGCCGTGTAGATATTTTGAAGAACACTATATATTCCATAGATAATGATTGCATTGAGGCGGTTCACGTAACTGAACACACGTTTTCACCAATAGATAAGCTAATATCAAAGTGCTTTTTAAACCAGTTGAGACACAATTATTCTCGAGACATGATCAAAGCAAAAACGTTTGAATAACAATACAAAACACTAGAACGCAGCATCAAATTATTTGGTACAATCCAGCCATTATTCAGTTTCGAATGTTCTGTCTTTATTGAATGTGCAGACAACTGGTCTGTACATTCTCTTTCTAGCTACATTAATTTAGACTGCTAACAACACCGAATTTTGAGCTGAATGATCAATATTCAGAAAAATGAACAGATTAAAAGCAATGAAGTGCTCGGATGAATTGTTGGGCTTGATTCTGATTGGATTTGTGCATGAAGTGTTAACCGTACATGAAACTTGAATTGAAGTATTAGATATATAATGTTTTGAATGGTGATGAACGACATTGATCCAATCAGCGCTTTATGAATTGTGTTCCAACTGCTAATGCTACCTTTCTAGCTGTCATATTCATTCAAGCAAACTGTTTCATTTCAACAAACTTGTTTATAAATGTTCGGATCTAGTTTTCCTAAATTGTTTCAAATAAGAGTTCAGAGCAAGAGTTGAAAAGTAGCAAGTCAGAATGCAAGCACGACAACATCTATTTTGGACTCGTGAAAACTAGTAACTTCGGTATCACGTTGCTTATTCGTTTTATTCAGCACCAACCTCCATGGTGATGTATACTTCAGAACTAGCCTTCGTTTATAAATATGACTAGATGTACCTGGTTGTGTAATTCCATATATATGCTGCTTAACGAATGACGAGTTCTTAACAACAACCATCACATACTTATGAATACAAAGCATGGGATTCAATGAAAACGAGCACAAACCAAATCGACGTTAACTAATTGTAAATAGATCACGTTTGAACAAATGTAACCACGAGACAAAATATATGAAACTCACACATCTTCATGATGATATCATCTGTTTTAACTGGCAGATTATCCGGATAATCATTTTGGGAGTGTTTGTCACAAGAGTGTTGCTCAAAACTATCACAGATTATATCGATACTACCAGTGGTATTAGCAGTTGAACAGTTATCATTGATGCACAGTTTTACTTTAAACGAGAGAGGACAAAGCAAATTTCATACAGAGTAAGTGTTACTTCATGCTTATCACTCAAGTCGAAACAACGAAGTAATAAATTCACACTCTTGAGAATGAGTACAATTATCGTAAATTTAGGAATGTAGGGTAACATTCATTGACTGAATCTCTAAAAATCTTACAATTAATTATTCAAAGATAAGAGGAATATTTAGCAACTGCCGTACCGGATAACACAGTTCACTCTACCAAGACCAAAAGCCAATGTACCATTTCACGAATAATTCAGTTCACTGGGAGAAAACTATGTGGCAGTGTTGGTGTGAAGTGTATCGTCATTATTATTCTGTTATGTTTCATAGGCGAACTTTATATTATATATGTATATATATTTATTATTACTGTCTATGATCATCGTGTTTTAAAATCGATATGTCTTCACTGTCAACAGTTTTCATGTTCTTAATTCACCTCATGGAGAATATAATGATTTCCTTCAATTCAATCAATCTGTTATTTAGTATAACATCACAGTGTGCTTGTTATGAGTAGGTTCTAAATAATCGGTAGTAATTACTGAACGTATATTCTGTTCATACTGGCCACCATCACTACATATGAAATTGTCTTCTGACAAATAGATACGTCTTGTGGATATATTTTCATGATGAAGCGCATGTCTTCTTTGATTTCCGCTTTGTTATTCCAAACAGAGAATCTTGATGTTTTGAAATATAAATTCCATTTACATGTAATCACTAGTCACTTAGAAATTCAAGGACTATGCGAAATAAAAATATAACTTGAAAATGGAATTCCATGGTAATTCGTAAGGAAATGTGACAATACAACCAAGAATCCAGTTTTCTTGTGGTTTGACTTTTTCACTAAACTCTGTTTAACCAGATGTTCGAATTTACAAAAAACACACAATAAGAGGTAGCAAATATCCGGAAAATAATCTAACAACTAACAATACAGTCAAAGTTAATCTTATGTACCATGTTATGTCATCAAATAACCAACTAAAGCAAGATCATCACGATATAAGTAAAATGAAATAGTTTTGAAAAACATACCAGAAGAATGTCTCTTTGAGAAATATACGAATAATGCGATTCCAACAATCGCCGCACAAGCTACACTGATGACAAGAACAAATAATAAAATTTTCTGTCGTCTGGATAATTGAGAAAGTAGCATTTTCATCCAGAAGTATGAAGAAGATTGACTGAGTTTATCAATATAAGCTGCTTATATACACAAATAACAAAATATATGTAGACTAATATTGACACGTCTATCTGATATTAATCACCATATACAGAATAAATGAATTCCATGAAAACAATAAGATGCTTATCAGGTCACAGTGCCGCCAAAACAAAACGGAAGTATGTCAACGCTTCACATCAATCAACTATGCCTATTTTCTAACTAAAAAGAATTCTAATTAACTCTGTCTCGAAATACAAAAGAATTCCTTAGTTATCTTCGAAGATTATAATAATATATAATGCAAACCACTCTTTAATTAACGTGGATACTTTGTTCTCATTTTTTAAACATACCAAGCAACTAATGTGAGTCATCATAGTGGTTGCCACACAAGTTTTATATCCATATTGAAAAGTAAAATTTTTTGTATCAAGTTGTAGAATTGGTATTAATCTTGGTTGTAGCAAACGACTAAGCATTCAGTCATAATTCTGTTTAATCTGTTCACCTCTATTTCTGTCTTATTCTATTCCTTCTTCTTCTTGTTCTTTACTACAAACCAATACTTATCAATCATTACTGTCAATTATTATTGTTCAGCCCAAAGGTTAGAGGCGTCGCTGTTGTTATTGTTTGGGCCATTAGGGCCTATCAGTTAGGAAACTTCAGTTTTGGCTTGACGACGAGAAGCTGCATAACGGTACAAGCTTATCGGATTGGAGACACATTTATCCATAAGCTTTATCTGGTACTGGAGTCTATCTTCTCTTATAGCCTTCGTGCATACGTTCTTTATATGGTTGTATTACCTGTACGCGCCGTTGTTGTCAGTTCGCTTGTACTCTGCTCAAAAGTGTCTTTTGTGGCCTAGAAAACAAAGAGTGAGGTTCTTGATGATTGTAGCTATTGAGGACCGTTTGAGGAACTGAGTGCTTTGTAGCACACAAGAGCGTGTGCAGTAAAAAGGCTCAATGAAAATCCACATCAAGTTGAGGGTGAACATCCCAATCCACCTGACGAAACCGAAGTCTATCACGGCTTGATCGCTTTTCCTCAGGGAGGCCAGAATTGAGAGGTTGCCAACTAGAAATTTTTCGTTTGTAAATACCCAGTCTAAGCACGACTGTATCCAAAGGTTTTCCAACGACTTGCTGACTTCACATTTTTTCATAATCTCAGATTCTCGATGAGGTTAAAGAACCGAGCTACAGTTGAGTTTACGAATACGAATGTTTCGCGAATTTGGCTCTAGGGAGATTGAAGTCTGCTAGAATCATTCAGTTATTGACATTCTATTTTGCTATGTCATTTTGTATTCATTGAGTTTATTAATCAATTAGAAAATGGTTCTAGTCGAATAATCATTAAATATCTCTTTAAATCTTGATCAATCAATATACTTCTGTAAAGAAACAAAACTCGTGTTGTGGTTCTTTCATATGAGGCTTTGGTAAATGAAATGACTTAGTTTACAAAGATTTTACCCCTCTCAAAATCTTATTATTTAAATGTTCAATAATTTCAGTATACAGTTTCCATTATTATCATTATATCTATTAACATGATAAAAAGTTTGTTATTTCAGGCATTATTACAAACGTATGATGTAATAGCTCAAGAAGTTTATGGCCCTGAAGCTATTTGTGTCACTCCACCACCATTGTCATCATTTTTAAATGGTGATGAAGATGATCATATGGAATCAGATACAGATCAACCACAAGTAACACGTGTACGTCTGGTACAATTTCAAAAGAGTACAGATGAACCAATGGTAAGAAATTAAAAGAGATAATCTTCATTTATAAACAAATTCAATCTTTAAAACTAATAAAACTCTCTGGTGGAGGATATTTGTAGCTGAGGTGGATGATTTTGATAGAGTTTTGTTCTCTGAGCTGGATAGTTTGGTCGTGAAGCTTTCATCGTTCTTCTGAACGACATCATCAGCACAAACTTGAACGTCAAGGTGTACAGGACAAACAGTGAAACGCATAAAGCGAAATTCAAACACTTCACTTCTATCTGAAGTTTGTGCTGAAATATTTATTCTAGACATCACAACTCATTAGGGTGCGCCACTGCCCGGGTGCCCAAACCGAAACTGATGATTTCATTAAGGGGCCACAACCGGAGCCTTCGACCCAAAGACTTGATCCATGAGGCGATGGAGAGACGTCAGGAGATGCAGTCTCATGGTAGCCAGTGACCAACAATAGGATCCTTCAGGATACTGGAGCCCATGTGCACCATTGGTTTGAAATCAGGGTTGTTTAACTTTCCTTGGTGAATCCACCATATTCACCGACCCGGTTAAAGTGCCGGACATACAATTTCGTAAATAGCATCATCGCCGTGAGAAGGCAGTGAGTAGGATTTCGCTAGAAGTGGTTGTGTGCACGTGGCCTTGTGAGAGCATTTCAAGAGGAAGAGCTGACTCTCCCCACTCTCGACCGTATCAGAGCATAAATCGAATGATTTATGAGGCTCATATCTATTTGGTGTCTCCTTGTACCAATGTTTATATGTTTAGATAATTAAATAAATAAACGCATTAGCGTTAAGTAATGGCTATTCATAAATTATGCATTTCACAAATACATGTTGATTAAAAAGATTTCAAGAAATTTTGACACGAAACATTTAACACTCAAAATATCTTGTTTTATGGATTTTAAGTTTGATATATGGAAGCTGAAAGTTCCCATTTTTCAACACTCTTTCAATAAACAATAAATCATTGATCTTGACTCATAATTTAGCAGTTATATAATATACCCTTGTAGGTCAAGGTAATTTTACAATGGTTTTCAGGAGAACCAGACACCATCCAAACTTTCACGTGGCAACCCAAACAGTACAGCTCAACTCCGTTTAGCAGGAGAAACAGATACCGTATAGGCTTTAACGCTACAATCTGAATAGTACAGCGCAATCCTGTGGCACAACCACACAGCTATCAAGCACCCTGGCTTCAGCACCGGGTTGGGCACCCGGGCAGTATCACAGCTCTCACACATATCGAATGAGATTTGTGTGGCGCATATATATTTGGTGCCTCCTTGTACCAATATTTATGTGTTAAAATAAATAAATAAAAAAGTAAATAAATAATCTTGCATTAACAACTTTGTCAAACGTGTAATCACCAACTAACTTTATAAAACTTTTTTTAATTAGTACTTCATGACAAGTTTTATTTCACGTTTACAAATGTTTAGAAAGAAGAAAGAGCATAAGTGTTAGGTCCCGATAAACATGATGATTGGTAACTTTGAAATCCTTTTATGAACCAATACTAAACGTATATTTTTATCGTATAATTGTTAAATAACTAAACAATTCATAATCATATTCCTCTTATTATAAACTTTATTTTGACCTAAAGACTACTGTTATACGACTTACTGTTATACCCAGTCTATTAATTATTATCTCCCATATTCACAGCTACATTTGGCCAAATTTTGTACAAATGTTATTTTCTATTTTATGCTACGTTGTGGTCTGTTTGATTAGTATATAAACTCAGTATGTTTGAAATATAACGATTCATCTTGCAGAGGCTGTGACTGGTGTTCTGGACTTAACTGACTGGGCTAGGCGGCAAGCAGGACCAATAAGGACTCTAGGCTGCTCGCACGTGTTTTACGCGTCCTTGGTCCGATCGGTTATTCGCTACTTCTGATTGGCGGCTTTGAGCCATAACAATAAGTTAGATTGTCATCTTCCGTAGAGCTTTACAATGCCTGATTACATTTCAAACAAATATCAACATTCAATAATATGATTTGACAATAACATGGATATTTTGAAAGCATAAATTGTACTTCATTTTTTTGTAATTTAATATCATACCTATGAAGAAGTTAGTTCTATCACTAAGAGTCCAACATAAGAATAATGACTTATACTTTTGGATCAAGCCAATATCAACACGCCAACATCCGTTTGTATGATCTTTTTATCATCAAATGGCTAAAATACACACACATACACACTTACCTCTACTTTGTGTACTTGTTACAGTGACTTCATTGAAATGATTATTATTTCATGATCTGATTGAAATGAAAAACCCTTAAATCCCATTTACCACAACTTTTCCATTGATTATTTAAGGTCAATTGTTTTATTTTCCTTCAACAATTTATTTTGCTGTAATTCAAGGTTATGTGAACAATATTTAATCAGTAATATTTGTCCCTACAAGCGCTTTTTTTCTCTCTCTCTCTCTCTCTCGAGACAGTCAACGTTTTCGTACCGAAACTAGTTCATATTTTTTTCTGTGTGTGTACCAATGAGGGTTTTGGGATTATTAATGATACTTGTGTAAATGTTATCATTGTATTAGATTTGTAGTAGAAGTAACGGTTGTCGTTTGCTCATACCCCCCCCCGAAAATGAATCTATACCCCTCTTCAACGTTTATGCGAATAGTTGACTGAAATAGTGGTGGGTTAAGCAAAAGCCAGCAAATTAAAATGTAATATCAGTTCATGAAGTCATCGACTGTTAATCCTAGACGTGTTGGCTTCCTTTTGATAACTACGATCAATGGTTGGGGACGTTGGTTGAAATGGCTACAAATTAGCCACAATTATTTACATTCATTCACTTTTTATCTTTCTGTCAATCTCGAGTTTCAGTATTTCTTGTTACATACCTTGTCATTCTTTCTTCAGGAACCAAAGTCTCAATGTCCAATCTTTCCTACCATTATTCTTACTGTATCACATAGATCTGTTTTGTTACTCATCTTCCTAAATTTCTATCGTTATATTGATGTGGTATAGGAACTTGGGTTAATCGACGAAGCTTTATGCAATTTGACAAACTTAATTAATCAAGTGCATAACTTAGTCAGTAGAGTTGTAAGGAAATGTCGAATATCTCAACATTTTCCATTGACTTTTATCTCGGATGATCACTTGATCAGATGTAAGTTGAAAATGCAAAGATATGAAAATGACGAAAACTTTAAAATAACA